GCGTCCCAGGGCGCCCGGGCCACTGTGGCCACTGCCCTGGGGGGCCCTGGCTTGGGCCGTGGGCTTCGTGGGCTCCGTAGGCTCGGGGGACCCCTCGCCCGGTGAGTGGGGTGGCCGGAAAAGGCGGGTGGGGTGGACCACCCACGTGGGCCTGCCCGGAATGCGGATGGGGGGATGTTGGGGGTCGTAGCGGCGGCTGCAGCTGGGAGGTGGAGGGCGATGACCAGAGGCCGCTGCAGATTGAATCCGGGAGGTCTTGGGGCTCCCCCTCCCCCAGCCCCAAAGGGCCTGAAAGAGGGTAATCAGGAGGTCAGAACAGATGTGACTCTCACAATGATGATTAATAGTAGTCACAAGGACTGATATTTATTGAGCGCTTCGTGTCTACCTCTTGCCTCCCTGAATCCATATAACAGTCCAATGGTGTGGGAACTCATCATGACTGTTTTCCAGATGGGGGAAACTGAGGTATGGGAGCACAGTTTGTAAGTGGCAGAGCCAGAACTGGAAGTCATACTATCTGGGTCCTGACACCTCAGAGAGGCAGGACTAGGTGGTCGGACCCAGGACCTCCAGCCGGGGCTTCAGATTTTCCCTGCGTCTGGCTTAGGCCGAGGGGTCATTGGAACATCCTACCTGCCACTCATTGGGAGACCTCTTGGTCTGTTTCCTGTTTTATGAGCACCAGGTGCTGACTTCCCAGAGTTGCTCCCTGGGAGGCACTCAGTACAGCACCTGGGAACCAGTGAGCTCTCTGGGATGCGGGCCATGGCTATTCCTACCCCCATTTAAGGGTGAAGAAACTGAGGCCACCTACCCACCCCCGACCCCCCATACCCAGCAGCTCCACCCAGCCCTGCACGGAGGGAAGGGAGGGAGAGTGGAGCCCCCTCCCCGAAGGCCATGTCCCCGGGGAGACAGTGAGCTCATGCAAAGGGAATGTTCCCAACTTGGAGTGAGTAAGAGGCAGTCCAGGCGATGGGGGGGCGGGTGCAGTGCTGCAAGGAGAAGGGGGTTCTGCATGCCCTCGGGTGCTGTTTAGACAAAGGGCAGAGGCAGTAGAGGCAGCTCCAGAGCCTGCTGACCCTGACACATCCAGTTTGGGCAGGATGCCAGGCCTGGGTGGGTAGAGGGGGAGATGAAGGGGGTGCGTGGATAGAAGAGAGCTTCCAGGACGGTTGGGGGTTGGCTAGGGGTTCGTGGTGGAGTAGTTGGGGGGTGAGGCTCAGAGAGGAGGATCTCAAAAGGATCTGGAGCTCCTCCTTCCCAGGTTGGGAGTAGATCACCCTCTTAGGAATTACTGAGTACCAACTGTATGCATCCCCAGGGCTGGGAGCTGGGTGGAAGGTACAGGCTTGGGTGTCAGGAATGGTACAGGAGGGCACCTCTGGTCCCATAGGAACTGCCCTCCTGGTCCACAGGTGGTGTCTGCTGGCTCCAGCAGGGCAAAGAGGCCACCTGCAGCCTGGTGTTGAAGACCGATGTGAGCCAGGCTGAGTGTTGTGCCTCTGGCAACATTGACACCGCCTGGTCCAACTTCACCCACCCAGGGAACAAGATCAGCCTCCTGGGCTTCCTGGGCCTTGTCCACTGCCTCCCCTGCAAAGGTGAGACCTCGGGCGTCAGCCACAATCCAGGGTCACTACAGTCAAAGGTGGACCTGCTGGAAGTGAGCTCCCCGTCTCGGGGGTGTGCAGGAGGAAGTCAAGGCTGCTGAGAGGAGCAGTTGTGGAGGGGATCCCGGTCTCAGCTCCCCTCAGTTGAGGATTCAGGAAGAAGCTCTGAGTTTCCATCCTTGGGGCCTTTACTTATACCAAGCCCTCTGCCAGGATGGCCTTTCCCACCTGCACCCCACCTGGTGGAAGTATACTCAACTCACAACTAACTCCTGGGAAAGTAGATTTTCCTGATGGGCCCTTCTGGTTTGTGACCCCACACTCAGTGTCCCAACTATCCTTATCTGCCCTTAACCCCACAGATTCCAGGGAACTGTGGTGGACCCCAGCTGCATGTTTAGTAATCATGGGCCTTCTGGACCATGTTCTGAGAAATGCTGACTCCTCTATCCAACAAGTTCTTCAAGGGATCTCCCACACCCCTGTGGTCAGGGCTGAACCTGCAGGGACCTAGAAGGGACATGACTTGAAGGTGGACATTAGAGACAGGGTGTTGGGGAATGATTAGGAGTTTACAGCTGTAGAAAGTAGGGGGGCCGGGGGGGGTAGTATCAGCAGAGACCATAGCCTGGGATGGAGTCCTGGTGGGTGGGGTCAGGGCAGGGGAGCAGGGAGGAGGCTGGAGCTGAGGGCTGCAGACCTGAAGAAGGCCAAGCTGAGGAGCCTGGCTGAGCTCTGAGATGTGATTAATCCCAGATCGGCCTGGCTGGGTGGTCCTAAAGTCAACACCATGTACCCTGGCTCACTCTAGAACCCCCTTTGGCTTCTGTGAGGAGGACAGACTTCAAAAAAATGCCTGGCCTGGACATGAGATGATCCAGGACCCCGCCCCCTATTCTGGCCTTGGGGACAGGAACTCAGCCCCCACTTCTCCCTCTTGTATGAAGCCACACAGGCAGAACATTTCCAGATGTGTATGTGGGCGGTCGGCGCCCAGGTGCAGCCCACATGCCCTGGCATGGGTTACCAATGTGGGGGCGCAGTGCATTCTCTTAGTAGTAGCATCCACTTATTTTATCCTGTAAGGTGGGTTCCCCCATCAGCCCCACTCTGTACACAGGGAAACTGAGGCTAGAGTGTAATCTTGGCTTGGAGTCTGTCCTCCAGACCCACCAGCAACAGAACTGAGTTGTTGGGGTGGGGGTG